TACATACTATACTGCTTTCTCACAAAATTACCTATATTAAGTTCCAAGTGTCAGCGTGTTTTACCCAAATAATTGTTTTAGTTAATTTTTACGGGTTGCAATTTTTGGATACAAAATGGCGGATTAGCTACCCACGTGACCCCTCTCAGCCAATCAGAGCTAGCGCCTCCGTTCGCGGGTCTCTCCCCAATATAGGACTCTAGGCGAGCCAGCCCGCTGTCTTACCCGGCACAGTCTGTCTCTCTCCCTCCCATCTGAGTGCACATGGGTGGGAGAGAGACAGACTGTGCCGGGCAAGGCGCTCGCCTGGCTTGCCCGCCCGATTGGAAACACTAACCCCACCACGCCCCATCGCACCACGCCGCACCCCGCCGCACCCCACCACGCCCCGCCGCGCCCCGCTGCGCCCACAGTTAGAAGTAAAAGCTCATCGCCAATCGCCAGAAATCATCTGCTTTCACGTTAGCGTTAGCGTTAACGTTTTTTTTTTCAAATGGATGAACTACCACTTCGTTCAGTGCCGAACCTAGAGAAAAATGGGTTTTTTCTGTTAATTTAAGTGAAAATAACTCATAGCTTTAATAAATAATTTAGAGGAGCACATAGAGAAACTTGAGCAGTTGAAAAATTCCATTGCTACCAAATTGAGAAGTGACGCATTGGTCTTTACGAAAGAAGATGGTAGACGACAGCGTGGAAAAACTCCTTCGGAATTTGCACTTGTCCAAAACGGCCAGCCAGGACCAGTGCTAATACCTCTGTTGTTTTGTGAGTACTTTATCTAATCATAAAATGAGTTCCTGTATTCACCTGGTCTTCAAAGGCCCTGTAATCCTACCAGTTCCAGACCAGGCGAAAACTTCGGTCGTAATATTTCCGGCCGGAACTGCTCTTCCGTCCGTAAATTGAAGCACTTTCCGTCCCTAATCCAGATGCCGGCCGGAGTTTGTTCTGACCGGGGAATAATGCTTCAAGTGGAGGACCATTCGGCCGGATGATATGTCCTGACCGGACGAAGTAAGAGAGTGTTACATGAGCAGAGACCAAGAGCATCTTTTAAGACGTAAAAACATACTTTGGCCGGGCTGCCAATTTTTGCAGCAAGCGACGGTAAAAGGTAGTGTAAGTTATATACAATAGCTAGCAGAAGCTTTCCGTGGCCATAATTTAGGAATCGAATGCTTCTTTCACTGTCCAGTGTATTCATGTATCGAGGGGCTGGCGCTGGCTGCCCGCCGTCGCCCCGTGTCGCCGAGGTCCTATGGCGCCTGCTACATCCGCGAGCGGCCCGCCATAAAATAACTCGGATAAAACGCCTGTTCTCGTTTTGATGGCGGCCAGTGAGTCGCGCAGCCGGTTTTACTTTCGCTCTGCGCGTGGAGATTGCGCCGCGGTATTATTCTTGTTTTCGGTATGGACTGCTGTACTGGCTGCAATCTGATGGCAGTGCCTCTTTCTCTCTCTCTCTCTCTCTCTCTCTCTCTCTCTCTCACACACACACACACACACACACACACACACATACACTCTCTCTCTCACACACACACACATTCTCTCTCTCTCTCTCTCTCTCTCTCTGTGTCTAGCACGCGCTTACCCCTATTCCCGATGTTTGCGTTCTTCTGCCGGTCACATGAGGAACATGAGGTGGCCGTCGTAGGAAACGATATCCGAAAGAAAACAAAAAACAACATAGCATCGCGTTATGTTTACGTGAATACTTATCTGCTTTATCGATACGCGTTATTACCCCCTCCCCCCCTACTTTTTGTCTTTGTTCTTAAATATTCCCAAATTTACCTGATTTTTACACTCGAATCAAAGCTCCCGCTTTACCGTACTCCGTTATGTCCATTTGCCTGGTTGCCCGAGACACTCGCTCCAGTACAGTCCCGGCCATAACTTACACGGGCATTATTCTGAAACCAATTTCAGGCCAGCGCTTGAGCCCTTGTGCGGTGTATCGGGGCGGCCGGCCGGGCCGTGCGGAGTCTTCTCTAAACCGATTATTACACGAATTATTGCCCCGAACTAATAGCCGGCTGCTGATAGCGCGCACCGGCGCCACCAGGGCGCCACTGCGGCACCCCGTGCGAGGGCTGCTGCACCTCCTCCTCCCCTATCCCCTATAAAAAGAACCTACGTGTTCTTACTTTTGGAATTTAACTTAAATTTTAAAGACGATTGTTTTCCAAGTCCTATTCCCCCTCCCCCTCCTTTACTGACAGTAGACAACAAAAGGGTTTTACGCATTACCAATTCTCACAAAAATTTTAGTAACTCCATCAAATTTTGTAAGCCACACTGATTATTTTGGCTGAAAAATGTACATTTTTTAAGTCTTACTGGTAATTTTGCCAGTATTACTGCTGTCTATAAGAGTTCATTGTCCGTTTTCAAAATATCAGTAACGATCTGAGAGTGCAAACAAGTAATTTTTCTCGTCGTAAGACGTCTTCCTCCAAAGTCCCGGCATTCGCATTATTACTTTGTGTGTCTTGCAACACTGTTTGGGTCTGCCTGCAAAAATAAGAAGTTCGCACTTTTGCCGTAGTTTTGTTTCAGAGAGTTGCACATTTTTTTTCTATAATGCTTCCGGCTATCAGGTGCTATCCATCCGGGAGAATGGGGAGTGCAAAGATTTGCTGGAAGGAGCCGGGGGAAAAAATGTTTGCACCGCCGAGGAGGGCGGGGCGGGACGGGGCGGGGCTGGAGGGCGCGCGCGAGACACCCCTTCTGCGACTCAGCCTTGTTTTTCGTCTTGGCACTCTTCCATATCCATTCCTGCCAGGGCCCGCCGTGAGCAGGGCGGCGGTGGACGCGACGGCCGCGCGCCGCGAGGGGGTGCAGGCGACGCTGCGCGCGAACCACCGGGCGGGGTGGGGCCGGCCCGCCGTAAAAGCCTCTTCGGCGATGTGAGATACTACTGGCCCTCGTAAATAAGTGTCTAAGTATTATTTTTGGGGAAAATGAATAGTTTTTAGGCACTGGCTCATGAAGCAAAGAAAACTTATGAAATGAGGAAGTTTTCTCAAAACAGGAGTGATTTTTTCGGTCTCGAACCCTTGAAGTTCTCCTCAAATACAGCACCCAGAAAAATGGTTTCTTGTTTCAAGAGTGCATGCCGACCCAAGGTAAAATTCACTCTTGAAACAAGTCAATATTGTCTTTGAAATAAGAATTTTCTCTAAATTATTTGAAAGGTAATATTAACTTGTTTCAAGAGCCAATTTTTACTTATTTATTTTCAAATTGATCATGGATCAGCATTTACTAGAAACATGCGGACGTATTGTTAAAACAAGAACAAGAAGCAGTAGGTATTCCCAGATGAGTTATCCTTAAAGTTTTTCCCCATAATTCACAAAATCAGACACTGTTTTTACTGGGTTTGCTGGG